GTGGGTATTTCAACAGCAGGCGGAGCGACAGAAGAAATTTGCAGATCGCCATCGTTGCCCCGCACCAGAGTTGCAACCTGGACAACGAGTATGGCTTTCTACCCAAAACCTGAGACTTCCCACCACTCGTAAGTTAGCCCCTCAATTTATTGGACCATTCCCTGTAGTACGTAAGGTGGGTCTCGTATCTACCGTATATCTCCCACGTTCCATGTCTCTTTATTAAAACCGATGGAATACAGTGCTGTGCATCCTCGTGACGTTCCCACGGTTCTGACGCCCCAAGTCCTACCCAAGTCCTCGCCAGCTCACGACCCTCTGCCTGCTTTCTCGACCATCGCTTGTTGCATGCCCCTTTGGACTTGTCTATTGTTCAGTGTCCCAATAAACCTCTGGGTCTCCTGCATCTGGGTCCAGCCTGCTCTGTCCCTCCGGACGTGACAGTATACTTCGCCACGAAACGACGGACCCTGCGGAGACCACGCAACAACTGCAGCAGCAGGTGCATCAACTCACTGCCCTGGTGTAACAGCTACTGGAGAACCAGGCAGCTCGAGCCCCACTACCCAGTTCGCTACCACACACCTTCGCTCCCGTCCCCGTCGCGAGTACGGAAAGGTACGACGGGAATCCTGACACCTATCAGTCGTTCTTGATGCAGTGTGGGCTGTACGTGGAAGAGAACCTCGATCGCTTCCATGATGATACTGCCCGCGTTCGGTTTGTGAACTCCTTGTTAACCGGGTGGGCCAAGGAATGGGCAACCGCTCTCTGGTTAGAGGACAGCCCCCTTCTCGATTCAGCCCGGGATTTCCAAAATGCCTTCCGTGAGGTTTTCGATCATCCCGCTGTGGGAAGGAGTCTGGGGGACAGATTATGCGATCTGCACCAGGGGACCAAAACTGCTGCCGAGTTTTCCCTGGATGATCCGGACGATCGCTGCCGGATTAAAATGGCCAGACGACTGCCTCAAGGTGTTGTACCGGAGACGGTTAAACCACGACCTGTGAGACGAGCTGGCCTCAAGAGGTGTGGCACACTCATTCGAGGAGTATGTTCGCCTGTCATTTATCCTGGACAACACGGTGAGGGATCGCCGTCAACATCGACTCCGGGCTGAATCAACAGGAACGTCTTCTGCGGCCGCCGAGAGATCGGAGCCTATGCAATTGGGAAGAGCTCCACTGACCGTGGCAGAACGGCAGCGCCGCTTCGATCAGCGGTTGTGCCTTTACTGCGGAGAACCTCTGCACTCGATCCAGAACTGCCCCTCTCATCCGGCTTGCCGCCGGGGTGATGTCAAGATAGGGGACCGCGTCTATTCAGTGAAAACCCTCCTCGATTCTCGTCATAGAAGGGGAATTCTCCAGTACTTAGTGGAGTGGGATGGGTTACGGCCCGGAAGAACGTTCGTGGGTGGCGGCCAAGGACGTCCTGGATCCCGATCTGAAGGCAGCGTTTCACTGCAAGTACCCCGCTAAACCAGTGCCACGCCCTCGGGGTCCCTCTCGACCTCCGGGAGGCAGTCGTTGGGGGGGGTACTGTCACGCCTCGGTAGCCGGGGCCACATAACTAAGCCTTGTTACGTTTGCCTATTTAACCAGCACTCAAACTAACCACTGTTGTGAAGTATCGTTGCTCTCATGCGCCCCACTAAGCATTCTACCTTTCTTATCTTCTGTGCCACGTCATCTGCCCTGCCTACCCTGCCTGACCTGCCTGCCCGCCTCGTCTTCCTGATCCCTGCCCTGTTTCATCTGTGTTCCCTGGTGTGCCTCATCGTAGGATTGATCTCGCCAGCTCACGACCCTCTGCCTGCCTTCTTGACCATCGCTTGTTGCATGCCCCTTTGGACTTGTCTATTGTTCGGTGTCCCAATAAACCTCTGGATCTCCTGCATCTGGGTCCAGCCTGCTCTGTTCCTCCCGGCCGTGACAGTAAATCATCTCAGACTATGTTTGTGAAGGTTTGAGGAGGTCAAGACTCAAAGCTATGCTGGAGTCTTAGGGGCAGCTTCAGAGGACCAGATCTGGACTTTTAATATGAAGTTTACACCAGGGTGCTGGTCTGAACCCTGGATTTGCATGGTTTGCCAGTCTCCATTTGGTCTCTCCTTGGGGACTTGCTGTCTCTGGTCTCCATTTGGTCTCTCCTAAGGGAGTAGGCTGTTTCCAGTCTCCATTAAGCCTTTCCTTAGAGAGTCGGCTGTCTCTGCTCTCTGGTTTCCCCTTGGGGAGTCAGCTGTCTACAGTCTCTGTTTGATCTCTCTTTGGGGACTTGCTGTCTCTGGTTTCCATTTGGTCTCTCCTCAGGGACTCGCTGTCTCCAGTCTCGGTTTAGTCTCTCCTCTGGGACTTGGTTGTCTCTGGTCTCCGTTTGGTCTCTCCTCGGGTACTCGGCTGTCTCCATTCTCCATTTAGTCTCTCCATCCCTGTTTTTGAGGGATTAGTTGCATTGTTGGCCCTGGTAAACGTGAGCCTGTGTAACATCGGAGCCAACTAATCATCGCTCCTTCTGTAAGTCCCAAAGATCCCCGAGGCAGCTGGATGTTGGGTCTCTTCACATGAACAGCAGGGGGCTCTCTCTCTTCTGGGGCCTTCACGCACCCTTCCCAACATCACATCATCCTGCAGAATCTCGTCCTCTTACTGCAGCTCAGTTTCACTGTTTCACATCATGCAACACTAAACACTGCATCTTTTACATTGCAGGTGGTAAAAAATTTAAGAACTAA